AAAAAAAAAAAAAAAAAAAAAAAAAAAAAAAAAAAAAAAAAAAAAAAAAAAAAAGTATCCTAAAGGAAATGACGAAAAGAGAAAAAGACCTGTCGTGTTGCAAGCGAAAGACCACTGTAAATTTTCTTTGTTTTAAAATAAGGAATGAAACAAAAAATAAGATAAAATAATATTTATTATTGCGCCCGAGTGAGCCAAGCGTCGCATTTCAAACGTGTAAAATACTAATCATTGATTATCATTTACATTATCGCGATATATATTGTGTATATTGATCATAATTGATTTAGTACGTTGAATAAAAAAAAAAGGTATATTATAATAAAAGCGAAGAACTTGAAAGAGAGAGAGAGAGAGAGAGAGAGAAATAAAGAGAGCGTGTTCGAAAGACAAAAGCAAGTACGAGCGATTATGTTAGAGATACAGTGATAAAATCTCTGTGCGAGAATGAGTGCGAGAATGAGGGATGCGTGAGGAAGCTGAGCTGTGGAACAAAAAATAAAGGTATAATAATAATAATAACAATTAAAGGAAAGTGATATGGGCAGCTCGTGTGGCCGACGGTAAGGTCGTTTTTGTAGCCGAGGTATAAGGGCCTCAAACTGAGGTATGAGAGAAGTGACAGGTGAAGAGCATACCGACTTATACGCGCAGACACACACTTGTATACGTATTTCTTATAAACTCTAATTCTTCCATCGCGGACTTTAAATAAAACAAAGTATTTATCGACATAATAATAATAATAATAATGATTAATATTATTATTGTAATTATATACAATTGGTGAGTGATGAGCGAGAGAGTGTGAATGGTGACGAACGTTTTGAAAAACAAAAACACTGAAGCGTCAACAGTGTGGGTGCGCGTAGCGAACGAGTATACGAGAATAAGTGAGCGAGTGCAAGAGTTATTGGAACAAATACGAAAATAGAGAGAAAAAAAGCGAGCGTCGTCGACTTTGTCATGAGGAAATAAATAAATAAATAAAAAAAAAATAAAAAAAAATAAAAAAACAGTTGCGTTCGAATGTATAACGCACGTGCACACAAACACACACCTGTATACATTTATACATACGGACACAGTAACAGCGACAAAAGGTTAAAAAAATTAAATAAAATAAGAAAAACGAACAAAAAACACGATGAAAGGCCACAAGCGTACCTATATGAACACACTACTCTCATGACACGTTACAAAATCACAAAGATATGCATCATGTATACGCGACTCTTGAAAAAACCATTTTACCAGATTTGTCATTATTTAATTATTTCGGTTGTATTTTAAAATGCAATTAAAGCTCAAATAAATATATATGTTATAAACTAATGACAATCAATTTTCTCATTATGCGCAACTATCTATACCCATCCAAGGATCCTCTAAAAATACTTTTGTTTCATTGGTACTTTTAATTTAATTAAAGTAAATTTTCAAAGTCGAAACTTTTGCTCGTTTTTATGTTACGTTTATTGTTGATGTATTTTTGTTTTTTTTGTTGTTTTTTTTAACAAATGTAAATTCTTGATTGATTTCGTTTTCTAACTTCTTTATTTTCTCGGATGAAAGTAATTGTATAAAAATCACAAAATTATCGTGCATTTACATCCTTACTGCAAGTTAAAACAATCACATCCAAGACTGTGGTGAGTAGAAGCAACCGGGCAGTGGCGTTTACACGGGCTACATGCACAAAGCCGGCACAGCAGCATCATTTAGCAGCAGGACAAAGAAAGCACGCCCAGCAAAGAGGTAAGCACATAATACAAGAAAAGGAACGGCCGATCGGTCCGAACTCGCCATGCAGAGAGCCGAAGGTGTCACCGATCGCTGCTGCTGCACATAACGGTGAAGGTCGTCTCGAAGGAGAAGGAGAGGAGAGGGAGGGCAGGGCGATGGGCAGACTAGACGGGTCGATCGGAGAGTCGCGTCGTCAGCGAGAGCAGCAGTCGAGAGAACGAAGGTAAGGAGGAGGACAGAAAAGCCGCGAGGAGAGGAGGTAACTTCCGAGAAACCGGTTGCCCGGAGTCTCTTGTCTGCTCCTCATACGAATACACATGGGCACAGCTGATGGAGAATAAAGAACTACATAACTTCATTCTAATTGTAATCCACTAATGAATTGATACGTAAGTACGTATACTCCGCGCACGCACGATCGTTTCTTCTTGTCCATCTTGTCGGCCGCTCGCCTATCCCTTTGTTTCCGAGATTTTTACCCACCGGCTCGGCGTGGTCTACCCCCTTTTTGTTTTCTAGATTTTCCTTGGGTACCCCCCTACGGGCGCTGTATTCGTGTCCCTGTCCAGATTTTCTTGCTGGTTTTCGATCACCATCGCCGGTACCGGTCTTTGTTTTATCCACTTGAGCCAATAGCGAGAGCCTCTCTTCCCTCCGTACACTGCACCGGCGCCACGATGCTGCAAGTGAAGGGGGAGTAAGAGCAGGAGCTGGACATTTTTCGAGCACGGGCGTGCCCGTATCGGCCGATCGTAAATTTCGTCCCGGGGCCGGAATGTGTACAGCCAAATTTTCAGGAGAGAGGAGCAGCACGAGAAGAACAGACTGCATCGACGCCACACGGGCAGGGAAAGATTGAGGAACTGCAATACTACGGAGGAAAGACTCGAGATAACGAGCTACGAGCATGCTGTCGGCTCGGCTTGTCGATTGCACGGAAACGTTGGAGCTGTAAATTATTACGCAACGGGGAAAAATTAATGTAATTGGATTTATGAAGAAGCGCGTGGGTGTAATGCTTGTCAGAAAAGTTGTTGGGAAAATTGGTCGCTTCTTTTGCCACACCAAATTTTTCATTATTGCGAGCGTGAGTGGTACCTAAATCACATCTTGTGATTGCCGATTACCGAGTTCCAGTGATTAGATGGCATTTTCGATTGCTCAGCTCCATAACTTCTTATACTGGGGTTTTGTACAGCTATTGATTTGTAATTTTGGATTAAAAAGTCTTGTTACTTACAAATATCATTTTTAGAGAACTTCGGAAAGTGACTTTCAGCACCTCGAAATGAAAGATTAAATCTTGATGTTGAATTCTGTAAATAGTTTGTCTTTCATGGGACTTAATGGAATAAGTGTGGATGAAAAAAAGTTTAGCATTTCATGCCAAAAGTTGTAGTGGTTCAATGAAATGGGGCTTTAAATAAAACATGCTAAATATCGTTTGATATCAAAGTTTTGGAGTTTATGCATTCAACATTCGATAAGTAGCCTGAAATCAGGCTATTTTATGTTAAAAATACTCGTTTCTAGTCAACAATAATTCAAAGCCAAATCATCCTAGTTGTGTTAGGTAATACAAGCTGTTCTTTCTATAAAAAGATCAAATTTCCTTCATGAATACCATGTCATTAAATTGTTCCCTTCATTATCAAGAATGACGATATACTTGAAAAATAAAAAAAAATAAATGCAATATCTCTAGTTCTTTATTAGCTAAGTCGCACCAGAAACCGTATCCGAGTTATCCATCACAATAAATTTCCAAATCCTGTGTGAACTACTCGCCTCTTACTCGATATAATTTACATAGAGTGCAGACAAAAACAAAGCCATCCAACTTTTTTTGTTTGACTCACTCTATCATTAATTTTGTTAACCAATTCAAGTACCTACAGCCATTTCAATCGACCACCAATAACAGCATAATAGAGTTGCGTAACGCACCCGCAGGTCAGTGTACACAATGTGTATCAAGCACTGAAAATAGAAAAAAACCTCATTGGTTTTCTTCAAAAATCCAACAACGCACAACCGTAATGTCGACATCAGCTAGCAAAAAACGCACACAACAATGATACCGCGATCGCCATAAATCCACGCGCAAATAGAAATCAGATTGGATTGCCAAATGGAGAATAAAGACTCGCGTCCCCGCGTTTTTTCATCCACGAGCCGAGGTAACGGTACACCGTGTACGCACTGGCGATCGCTTGAAATTCCAGCTGCATTGGGGCTGGTGACAATCGCGAATCAAAGCGCGCCGCGAGATATCGTAGATAGCGGCTAGAGCAGCGACTTGCAGGGCTATACTTTATTCATCGCTCGCGCTATAGTTAGACCGGCAATTAATCTCCCTATCGCGAAAGTGGTGGCAGCTGTGGTCTATGGACGAGTACAATGAACGTGTTCCGTTGTACATGCTATTGCCATTCCTTGCTCTGAAATATCGTTTTTTTTTTTAAATCTCATGGATATTTTACACCCACTTGGAGGACAGTCACTTGGTGATGGTCCGGGTAAGTTTAAAAGTTAGGTCTACGTTCCACGTTAACTGCGATCTTTCCTGGCGAATTACCGATCGTGGCAACAACTTTCGTCTTACCTCAGAGCTTAGACAGCCATTCCAAGCATTTTGATCCAGAACTTCCTTTCATCCTTTTTTTGCACCTGTCCACTGTGCGTTAACTTTCCTGATACTTTCACCGCGATACCACGCTGTACGTACGTACAATGTTTTAAAACTATT